AGGATGTGACATCCCAAGTAAAGGTTCAGTCCCCTGTGCCAGTGTGCATACCAGCCCTCTCATTGCTTACAATAGGTGTTAGTGAGAAGGTGACTCAATCAACAGTGAAAGGCTTTTTCTTCTTCTTCTTCTTCTTTTTTTTTTTTTGCTTTAGTCTGCCCTGTCATAACAAAATATGATAAACTAAATGACTATGGAAATGCATTTCTCATGTTTCTTGGGGCTTGAAAGTTGAGATCAAGATGCTGGTCCATTCAGTTTCTGGTGGGGGCTGTCCAGCCTTTTAGATGAGCATCTTCACTCTGTGTACTCTATGGAGAAGTGGGGAGAGAGTGAGTCCTCCATTGTGTCTTCTTGTGAGGACTCATGCCTCTCTGCGACCTGAAGTGAGCAACCTCATTTACCTCCAGAAAGTCCCTATCTCCAAATACAGTCATGTGTCAACTCAAAGTCTATGGTCTGAAATTTGGGAAACACATTTCGTCCACAGCAGTGTTCCAATCATCTCTTTTAACCTGTCTGTATGGGAAATGATCCTTCAGAGGGATTATTCAGTTTGTAGCAGGAGTGGCCACCTTTGAACTTCTATTATTTAGCAAGCTACCTGCCATGTGCTAGGAGATTAATTACTGTTTGTTGATAGATTAATAGAAACAAACATCATTGTGCTAATTTCTTGTACTTAAACTTTCGTGGCTATTAAGTATATTTGCCCCACATTTGATTAAATAGCTAATAATGTATCCAGGTTTTATTTTGGTTAACTCTAAGGCATCCTGCTTCGTTTAATGGGAATACCACTGAATTAGACATACAGGGGCAGAGGTTGCATAATAGAGAAGGAAAAAGCCATAGGAAGTCTAGGCTAGGAATAGTTACTGCTGATAAGCAGTACTTTCTGACTATAAGAACACAAAAAGGACACGTGATGTTCTGCATTTGTTAGAATCTGTTTTTGTTATGTGAAAGGAAAGCATTTTTAACCCTGGCACTCCATAGAAAGAGAAAACTATCTCATGGGTCATAGAAATTGGAACCTTAAACATACTGTTGTCCATGTTATTATTGACGACTGTGAAGATTTTTGTGCAAGAAACATCCATGCCTTTTATGCTCATTTGTTACACATATAGTGAATTCCAAAGCCATAATATGTAATGAAATATATTCCCATGAAGTATTTCCTTGGATAGCTGAATGTGGGAAAGGCAGCTAAGCCATTTTCTGGCATATTTTCCTTGAATATGCCCATTTTCCAGCCCGTAAAAAAGGAAAAAGAGCATGGATGCATCACCCTGAGGGACAGGCTGCACATTGGTTATGAGCTCAAAGACGCTCCTCTGGTTGCTGCTGACTTCTTGACTAGCCCACACTTACGATGAGTTGTTCCTAGTCTGGAATTGTTCACCAGCTGAGAGTGGAGATAGAGTAATGCAAGTCAGCAAGCTGAAAGGATGTGAAGCCACACTCTGAGCTTGTGTATGTTGGCTGTTTCCCTATAGAATGTTGTACTTCACTTGAAATAGGAGTCAAGCATAAAGTGGAGGAAATTCATAAAATGTCAAGAGCCTTTTCCTGAAGCAGTGCATACTTCATTGAAAATACACTACTAAATATCAATGCTGCATGTAAGTAGTGTAGATTATTCAAAAGATAAAGACAAGGTTCTAATTAACATGTTAATTGCTACTATCTCATTTTTTTATTGCTAACACTTGTCTAATTCGTAGATTTACAAGTCCTCCATTTGTAGCTTCTTGTTTCACTATGAGAAAACATAAACACCCTTCAAGCAAGACAGGTTGTTTCTAAACGTCTTTTAGAATCATGTCTTTAGGTCATCTTCTCTCCTTTTTAGATTATGGATTTGCTCTCATCCTGAGAATCTTGATATAGGATGACAATTTTAAAACATATATTTGAGCAAGAGAGTGCATATTCTCATATACTGCTTCACAAAGGCTTGCAACAGCTGGGGCTGGGCCAAGTCAAAGTCGAGAGCTGGACATGAAATCTGAGTCTGTTTCATGAGTGGCAGAAACAGGCTGAAGTGAGCCATCATTGCTGCTTCTGCATTAGGAGGAAGCTGGTAATAGGAGCTGGAGCTGGAACTCTAACTCTGAGATGCAGGTTTCCTAACAGGTATCTTAGCCATAAGGTTCTATGCCTATCTGAAGTTTGAAAATTTTTTATCATAACTCACAATAAAAAAAAATGTTTCATTCCATTTTGGGTGTGACAGCAACCGTGGTTCCCAGAAGCATTCTCCGCTTTAATTTCTGAGCTAGAGCCTGCTATTTCCCTTCCTGAAACGCTGACCTCTACACAGCATGCTGATTGCAGAACCAGCGGATCCCGACTGGCAATTTGGAAAAACACCAGCCTGGTGCAGAGAGTGGCAGATAAGGATAAGGATGGCTTGTCCCGGCATCCTAATCCTACTTTGCAGACACTACAGGAAAATGAATGAAAGTCCCTTTTCATCTCAGGCCACTGTTTCCTCTTCTGTGCAGTGAGGCATTTGACGGGCTTATCCTCCAGGTGCCCCCCTCCCTGCTTTCAACTTCATTCTTGATGTCTCCTGCAGTGGGAGGTGTCTGGATCAGATTGGCATCTCCCATAGTGTTGAATGAAGGGTTCAATGCATTCAGGCCTTGTGATGATGCTGGGCCATGGAAGCCTCATATGAATTTCTGAGTAGGGGTGCAAGGTAGCCAGATGTTCTTCATGCAGTGTAAGTTGTAAAGCAATCATAGTGATCCCCTGGCACACTCTACTAAAAGACTTACCCCACCACCTTTGTAGACTCCTTAATTGTGTCCTGATTCTTGGCTGTGTTTTGGAAACCAGGAGACTTTTATGATCAGAGACTAAACAGTTTGTAAAAGGTAGTCCCAAATTCCATACTTGGCCTATTTCATCTCTGCTGAGAATTTGCTTTGCTTTCTTCTTCTGTGTTTTTCTTTTCCCTAGATTTGAGAATGTTCTAAGATGCAGATGGAGCCTGGAAGAATGGGGTTCAGGGGTAGGACATACTTACAGTGGGTAGAGTTCAAAAGTGGCCTCCTTTTAGTAGCTAGTTAGAGGTGCTTACTGATAGCTCTGCTGGGCACCACCCCAGCACTAACCAGCTACTTAGCACTTTCTCTGTGGCTGCCTTCAGGGGTGGTCTGTTGTTCAGGAGACTGGAAAATACACTTTGCAGTCAGCGGAGCTCTTTGTAGTGTTTAGCTCTGGTGTCTGGAACTTTGTGGGTTGCCCCCAGTATTCTGTGATCTGCTCTGGCAGGAGCTTAGCTGACAGAGCAAGCAGGTTGGAGGTGAGGAGTCAGGATGAGGAAGGCCCTTAGCTAGCCTCTGGCAGGGACACCATCTCATGAAACTGGGCTCCACAGAGAAGTTCACCAGCAGTTTCTGTCTCCGTAGTTTCCTATGTCAAATCGCAGGACTGTAAGAAATACATTCCTAAGCAAGGTCAAGGACATTGAAGAAGAGTATGCTCTGCTTTTGCAGAAAGGAGGAAACAGGCTGAGACCTCGGAGTCCAGCACACCTGATTCAGATCTCTGCCCTGGCCCTTACTGGCTCTTTGACCTTGGGCAAGTTTTCTCCATGCAAAAGGAGACAGTGAAATTGTGCAGGCTTGTAAAGGGAATTAACGTGAGTCAGATGCCTCTTGTACCGTGGGTGGTCAGAGCCATGAACTTCCTTCCCTCCTGGTCACAGATTTGGCTTTCCTGGAATGGGAACCTTCATAGTGGAAACTGGGTGAGGGGGAGGGATTTACAGGGTCAGGGTTCAGAGCTGATAATAAAGCCATGGGTAAGATGGGAGACAGAGTTTCAGTCCTGCAAACCTGCTTGTGGGTACTTGCTTTTTGTGTGTATGGGTGGGAGAGAGGGGGGGACTTGGGTTACATTGGGAATGCTGTTCTCTTTTTGTGATGCATATTAGGAAAGCAAATACCTCTCTTTCTTAGTTCCAGAACTATTTCTCACCCTCTTTCCCTTTTTGAATACATTCAGTGGCTTAGTCGAAAAATATTATCGGAAAAAAAATATTATTAGGAGACATATATCAGGAGAAAGCTAGATGGCCACATCTGGCCCTCCCCGTACCCCACCCCCTTTTTTTTAAATGCTGAGCACAGGAGGTTTCTCTCCTTGGCTGTCATGCAGCAGCAGAGGATTTATATGATTAGAATGACACTTTTGGCATGATTTGCAGAATTGAGATATCTTAACCTGAGGGTCTTTGTGCCCCTGTGGAATACAAACTCGATTAAGAGCTCTTTGTTCCCTGCCACAAATCATTCCACGTCTACATTTTGCTCTTATAAAATATGGATAACAGCCTGACTTTGTCTCCTAGGAGTTTGAGTGCATTAGCTGATGATCTTGAAACCTTAGAAACAGGATATTCCTGTGAATACCAAGAGCTTTTGTAATTACACATTTACATCATGTTGGCTTGACATCTTCCAACACCGTGTTTCCAACAAGAGACTACCAGAGTTGATTTCCTGACTTTCTAAGTGGAGAGCAAGCCCTGACTTAAACCCAAACCATGTTTGGAAGATTTAAGTTGTCCTATCCTCTAATGGAAGCCTTGAAGTAGCTCAGGTCATCCTGATTTGGTTTGGACAAAAGTAAATGAGGAGCCCCTGAAGGTAGAGAATGGTGGGACCTGAGGATGCCAGTGGCTTTCATGCAGGGCTGTGCACTGATGCTCAGCTCCCAAAGTCCTGTGTCCTCAGACATATTGTCATCTAGAAAAATCGAGTTGTTCCTTTCCCTTCTACTTGCAACAACTGCCACCCCCGTCTCTAGCTAATTGTTTTAAGACTTAAGAAATTCTTTGAAGAGTTATCAGGTAGCAATGTTTTAGATACCTTGAGTAGAAGACTCTTCAGCATCATGGGTGTTTCTTTAAGAATGAGGTCACAAATAGTAAAAAGCCAGTGTGTCTTTTGACAGGTGATGGTGTTTTTGTTCTGTTGCAGGCAGTGGAGCTACTGCTGTGGTTCAGGCTGCCCTATGCAAACCCAGGCAAGAACGGGTGGCAATAAAGCGGATCAACTTGGAGAAATGCCAGACCAGTATGGATGAACTATTAGTAAGTAAAAGGGCACGGCACCCCTGCTGGTTGCTTCTTCTAACCTGTGGGTGTGTGAGAGCAGACTGGTGGGATTGGGGTGGGGGAGAGAGTAATGTGTTAGTGGTTTGAGTTAATCTCTTATTTTGAAATAATGTGTTTCTTGGAAAGTAGTCTGCATTACTTCTTTTTGCTACCCCCCTGACTAATGATGTCACACATGATTTGTATATTGTATAAGCTATTCATTGCTTTGCATTCACAAACAGTGTTTTGCTCAGTCTGGGTTAACCCCTGTGGCAGACACTCAGTAGGCACTGCACTTTATTATCGAGGGAGCGTGCTTGGCCATGTGACCCTGGGTCTGTGATGGGTGATGACTCAGGCTGTGAGTTGGTCCTTTTGGCTTCCATAAATTGTAAAATCACACATATCTTTGTCTTATTTTTTTAAAATGCAGTGTAACTTGCATTTGGCTAATGAGAGGTGTTGGTTTTTCCTCATAGGACAATATGTACTTATTTTAAGTGAGGAGCACTGCATAAATAATTGGAGCTTGTCAGTGTGGAGATGATGATGGTGGCATTGGTTGGTTTAGGGAACATTTGTTTTTGGCTTAACTGACTCATTATTAAATGAACAGCCTGGCAAATGGTTATTAGTTGCCCAGCAAACTGTGAAGGGTTTGAGAGTTTAATCTCATAAATACAGTTGTCATTCTGCCTGCCAATTTTCTGTTTTTCCTTGTGGCTGTTTGTTGGAGGATAATGGAACACTGCAATGGAGGAGTTAACTGATTGGTTAACCCAGCACTAATCCCAGTACAAATATTAGTCCAATAGCTCTATACAGGCTACAAAGTATAATGACAGTTGGCTCCAAATAAAGGGACCTTTTGTTATATTCTGCTTTGGGAATGGAATGCCATTAACAAGAGCTTTTTGTCTTTATTCAGAATATAGCTTTTATTTCAGGCTTAATTACAGTACGCTATAGTATAAATTAAGTACAAGAATAAAGCTGTACTTTTGCAGGTCGGGTTTGGCCTTACATTTTAAGTTAGGCTGCATAATACATGGATTTCTTTGATGCTGAAGCAACAGATGGGGGATCCAAACTCAGACTCAACCAAGGAATCCCATAATTCAATGGTAGCTAAAAAAATTATGTGCTTTAATGCTTTAGTCCTCAAGATTTCAGTGTGTTTGGCTGTTAGGGAGATTACTAGTGCATGCTGCTTGTCTGTTGCTTGCTAAAGTGGTGAGCAATACAGCTGTGCTCTTTTTCATCCAGTTTTCAGGGTCACTTTCCGTGAATGGAAAAGGAATGAAACAAACCGAGGGGAGAGTTGGGTCTTGCTTCTGCCACTACAGTGATTTTTAACTTTGACTGACTCATGTAAAAAGAGAGTTTAATTGAAAGACCTCTAAGATCTCTTTAGAGGCTCTCAAATTCTAGTGTAAATTTACAAGTATATATTAACTTTTTTGAAAAAGAAGTCTGCATTTCAACCTATGCATCATTTGTAAGCATCACTCAGAAATTTTCTTGTGTGATCCTATTTGACAGTATTGTTATCCGGGAGCTCTCACAGCAGAGGATGTATATGGGATATGTGTGTAAGGTCTGTGTGCATGGGTCCAGGCAGTTCTACAATCTGCCTCTGGGCTGGGCCAGGATTATGGTTTGATCTCTCCCAGGCTTTCATTGCCTTAATGTTTTGCTTTTGTTGTGTGACTGCCAAGGATAGAAGCTGGAACCTCACGTGGAGGTTGCTATTCTAGTCTCTTAGTTTCCCAGGGCCCAGGAAGCATGGTAGTGCCATTTGGAGAAGTACCTGTGACTTAGGCAGAACCATCTAAGATTTACACCCTTTAAGCTTTATGCTTAGCTACCCAAACCCAAGCTTTTGGTATCTATAAGTTTGCTTTTGAGCAATGGCATATTTTTTCTTCATTTTTTTCCCCTTAAAATCCATGTTGTGGTAGAGTATAATATTTTTGCCAATTTTTTATTTTTAATATAAAAAGATACATTACTGTGTTGTTTTGGACATTGCTTAACATTGAATCTTTGCCTTTTTGTGTCTTTCGTGTGCAGTCAGTGAGAAGGAAGGATGATTTATGTTTCTTCAGGGCATCCTTTGCTCAGACCCTCTTCACAGGGAAAATAACTCTCAGTGTAATCTTCTTAAGGTCGCCAGACTTTTGTGGCCTGATTATTGGCACATGGGATTGTGAAACAGAGCTGCTGTCATCCTTTCAGCTTCTAATACTGCTGTTGCTCGCACTTCTATTATTTCTGTAGGCTCACATTTTGGCAGTGTTTAGGCATCCGGTATCCTCCTAATCCTTTAATTCCATGAGTGTGTATCATATCCAGGTCAGCACACTGTGTCATCTCACAGACTGTGTCATGCGTTGTTCACTGGAAGCCATTATTCTTACAAGAAACAATAGCCCTGGTATCTTTATCTTGAGAGAGTGTTAGGTCACAGAAGTCATAGTTACCAGCTGTCTGCTGGCTATTGGAACATCTATTTCCCCAGTAGAGCTGTTCTATCTCCTGACTGTGTTTCCTCCCTCCTCCCATTCTCCTGGTCCTATAAGAGTAAGTTAGGGTCAGATAGGGCAGACTACGGCAGTTTTGCACAACTGACCCTGGTTGAACTCTATTTATTTATGTAGTGGAGGCTCTCAGTAGATTTGCCAATGGTCATGGAGTTGGTTCTCAGTTTTGCTGAAGAAGAATTCAACTGGTCATGATTTGTGTAGCCAAGTACTCATGACAGTGCCAGCTTGCGTCAAAACAAAGGGAAGAATAGAAATGTCAGATGAGATCGTGGTTCTAAATAGTGGATAATTTAAATCAAATTTATACCTGTAAAATCAGCACTGAATTGTTCCTCAAAGATAAGATCATTCTAGACCTAATATGCATATATTTAGTGAACTTCTGCATTGTGTGTTGGTCTCTAAAAAGGGTGAGCTTGAGTGTGTGGGTGCATGGGAGGATAGGGCAGACCCTGCATTGGGAATTCGTTTTGGTGTAAATAACAATCATATTAGAATACTGCAGAACAAATGTTTTCCTTGACTTGCTGTTTGTTGTTGTTGAAGTAGTGCTTTTTTTCTGTATATTCTTATAAATTTCCATGTGTGTTTTAGAGGTCGGCCTTTAACTGTTTCCTATTCTCTCTGGTTATAAAGATCTTCCTTCCTAGAGCCAAGGTGGGATGTTGCTATTCTATTTTATCTTCCTCATCATCCAAACACAGACATTTGGATAATTTCTGAAATTTGTTAGTCTCACATTTGTTGTTAACCCCACATTTGTCAGTCCCACAGTAATGCAATGATTAATTATAGTGAACTGAATACCCTCTTGGAGTTATTTATAGTTTTAGGGCAGAACTTCTTAACTCTGTAATTATTAAAGCTCACAAGTGGCAGATACTAAGTAAACTGGATACTAGGAAAACAGAGGGTTTCTGTACTCTGAGCTAGGAAATGGGTCTCTTCATTTGTGTTTTGGGGTGGTGAGATTTTTCCCACTGGGAATATCTGTCTGTTCTTTTCTTGTACTACTTAGAAATGGCATAGCAGATGGACAGATGACTATCCTTTAGTGTCTTCCATTGAGGGAATTAGGAATTCAGGATTTGACAAATGACTCTTGCTGTGTTGCAGGCTATCATTATCTGTGTGAAGGTGGCTTTGGGGGCTCTGGTTTGTGGTCCACCTTATGGGTTAGGGATGCTTCCCTAAGGCCCACTTGGATTGCCTTAAAGTCATTACCTATGAGAAGGGTTAATCTGCCTTCTTCTTGGATGTCATCTGTTTTTTCCAGTCTGTCATTGGGTAACAGAAACCCTCAGTAAACGTGACAGTCCTCCCTTCTATTTACCGTCAAGTCCACTTGTTCCAGGATATCCCCATTAGTCTTACTCAAGCATTGCAGAATATTTTAGTTCATCACCTTATAATGCTTTCTGATGATAAGGTTTTGACCATTTCACTCTGAAATTTTTTTCCCCTCTAATGTTGAGCTGTTGTACTTTTAGTCTGTCTTTAGTGTCTAGTTGCAGAACAACATTCAGCCTCATTTTCTCATGCCTGCACATGCACCAATGCAACTAAAACTTAACAGCTTAGTTTTTGGGTACAGAAGAGCTACACTCATAGAAGAGGTCATAGCCGTGGGGCCGTGCAAAGTACTTTTTGTTGTTGTTTTGAAAAAGAGTAGTTAAATGATTATGTGATGAATTATGTAATGATAAAATACTTTGTGATAGATGACAGATATGAGCAAAGTCATTTCAAAACAATAGCGCCTATAGAGAAGGGATGAATGACACATCTTGTGATGGAGGAGCAGAGAGCTGCCTGGTCAGGTGCTCTGTGTTCTTCACATGAGTCGCCTGCAGAATGGCTCACCCATGACCTTGGACAAATCAAGTTCACCTCTGGTCTTCAGCCTCCCTCATCCTTCAGTGAGAAATTACAGTCAATGCCAAAATGTATCTTCATTATCTCTGCAGTGTGATATTATACGTTTAAAAGTATTCTTTTAACAATATCTCAACCTTGAAACACTTGACTAAATATAAAATTACTAGCAGATCATGCTCTGTAATTAAAGATAGAATCAAGTCATTCTAACACTGAAATGGGACAATAAAATCTGCTGTAAATTCATAGGTTTGGATAGATAAGAGTGTTATCTTTTCTCTTGTGTACATAATGGAGGTATTTCTCTGTTATTAAATAGCCTTGAAGGAGATAGATTCAACGTTTGCTGTTTTTCCTGCATCAGTGTTTTGCTGATGTATAGTACTCATTGACTGTATTCATAGATAAAAGAAGATCCCCGCCCCCCTTCTCTCCCGCACAAAGGCACTACCTTTATTCTGCTGGGTTTTTTGGTTATTTCTAATCACAAGTAATCGATTGTTTCTTGTTTTTCTGGGTCTGTTCTCTTTCTGCTGCTTTCTTGTCCTTCTTCTCCTTGGAGGAATGAAT